AATAGAATAGATTCCAGAGTCTACAAAATACATCCCAATTAGAAGCAATAATAAGGAAGAACTGAAAACTTCAATTGCAAAATCGATATGTTCCTATTTTTTGAATTTTTAATTCCATTAGTAAATGCTACGTGCTATAAACTTCTAATTTTCACACAGACTTTAACCTTTTGCTCCCTCCCTAAGTAACTAAATTTTGTTACTAACATTTAACTTTAATAAGAAGATAGTAGAAAAAGAAATAATACATAATTTAGCTAATAGAAGAGCAAACACAAACACGTGTAGGAAAAGAAATGGTATGCAATTATTGGGTTGTATACAACACGAAAATTGAAAGGAAATGATGGGTTAATGAGAGTGTTGGGGGTTGGAAGTAATACAAGAATGATTATAACAAGTAAGAAACACAAAAAGAAAATATAAACAGTCATCTGTAGAACACATTTTTCATAAAAAAACGCCAATAAAAATGGGACAAGAAGATATACTTATCTTTCCTCTCCCAAACTTGCTTTGTAAACTCATCTCTATCATGTTCAATCCTCCTTTTTCCTTCATAAGCCATTTCAATAACCAACTGAAAGTAAGACACATTAGATTAATTGTGTAAAGAAAAAATGAAAAAGCCTTAAGGATAACAAAGAGCAATTAAGAAAAAAAAAAAACAAGTGACATGTTCACTCACTTATTCAACAAGCAGATATATATACATACTAGATTGCATGCGCCTCATACTTACGCAATACATACAACATTTTAAATACACGAAATATTCCAAAACAAGCGAAGGACATCAATAAATTTGCTCATCATTATTAACACGAATCATACATATCATGGAAGCATAATGCCCCTTATGATCTACTAAGCATTATAAGTTTGTTCTATTGATCCATCTCTCAAACTCCACTACCAAAGTTTCATTTGAAGGCATTGGGAAATGGAAAAATTAACAATATCAATTGATCATGTAATAAATCCAAGTTGGTTGTGCAAAAACTTGATCCAAGTCTGAAGTTTCTCAAAGCCTCTAAATAGACAAAAATTGAAAAAAAGAAGAATCATCCCCTCTATACCATTCAAAGCCCCTTAATCAAAGGCAATTAAGATTCCCTCAGAGCTTTGTCATAACTTTACAACATCGTTTTCATATGTTTGTTCCTTACTATCATCAAAAGATTATGAGTCAACTATATTATGAACTCAACCTACTCAAGGTTCGTGCTTGAAACACAGAAACAAGCATTCCAAACTTATTCCCATTACAACCTAAGTTCCCCCAAAAAGGTGCAGATCTAAAAATCATTGTTTTATCAGCATAGTCAGTCATGGAAAATTAAATGCACATAAAGTGCAGAATGGTATATAAACTTGCCTATATTGATAAAAGTATAGCAATAAGAATGATGGCCTTGACACAACTCAAGATGTAAACTGGCATAAATCGAGCGATAATGTTAACAAAAAAAAAAAAACTTCGACTACAAATGGGGAGTTGAATGAAACCTCACACAATCACAACACTTGGATTCAAAAGCAAACAATGAGGATTCAATGTAAAAGATGCAAAGACTAACCTTCACATATCAAAAGCTTTTCATATCTCTATGGTCTCTACATCTTAGAATACGCCGCTCAATAGGCAATAAACAACTCCATCAAGAACCTCTACTATCTCGTTAGCCAGCTGGCCCTTCCCCCAAAGTTAGTAACAGGTAATCATCACAGTATGGAAGCAATTTGGCTCTCTTTCAAAAGGCAAGCATTAAAAAAATGGCCCGATGAGTAGAACTCACGCTCTTGTCACTGTTACAGTGAGTAGTTTGACTAATCTGCTGATTCATCATGATAGATATCATCTTCTGTTAGGACATTATGATATAACCAATTAGGTTCCTTTCATAGGGACCAAATAATTTGATCATGAGCAAAATTTATTAATGTTATTCAACTAGAAATGTATTATAATAACAGTTAAATGACCTCATTCAAGGAAAGAGTGTTCATAGTGATGATGCTGATGGGTGACAACATAATCATCATGATCCTGAACATCTAGTTCATGATAAACAACAAAACATATACTATCTTTGTTATAGCTTGAAGCACCCTGATCTCAGGCAATATTTTAATAATATACCAATTCTATCTTATGTAGGCATTACATTAGTCATTAGGCTATCGTACTCAAGATAATTGACTCATTGCTAATTCTTTAAAATTATGAATAATTTCAGAAAATAATTGATAAAAAAAGACACTAGTTCTTTTTTTCAAGAAAATAGAAATATTTAAGCACTAAAAGCGATTGAACACAAGAACAAAACCATAAGAATCCAAATTTTATAGGAAAAGATCAATTAATAACCCTAAGAAAATAAACAACAAAAAACAAAAGATTTGAGAAATCTTTAATCCACTCACCTTTCAAAAGACGAGCAAGCAGAACATCTTATAAATAATTGGGCAATGGCGACAGAGGAGAACCATAGATCATTGGGCAAGGTGGTCCGCTTCAACGACCAGAAGGGCTATGGGTTCATCAGACCCTACAAAGAAGGCGAAGATCTCCTCGTCCACCAATCGGAGATCAAATCCGAAGGCTTTCAAACTCTCTATGAATGCCAAGAAGTAGAATTTTTGGTTATTCATGAGGGTGAAAAGATCAAGGCCATAGACGTCAATCGCCCCAACGGAGCCCCGTCGACAATACCAGGGGTGGCACGGCATAGATAGCGGCTCTTGTTCCAGGCTTGAAATTCTGAAGGGCTAGGAGTTGAAACGGGGTGCTTGCTACGAGGCGACTTGGCAGAGAGGACATGGAGATCTCCAGAGAAAAAAGAAGAAGAAACCACCGGAGACATGAACCTAGAGCTCTTGGCCGGCGGTGAGTCGAAGGAGGAACCGCCGAGGCGATGGTGTCCGCGGCCTCCCTGCTGCGGCTATAGAGTATATGCACCGCCTACTTCTATCACAATTTAAATAGGGGAGGGGATATTGTGAAAAGGAAAAGAATATTAATTGGAAACTAGCCGTTGGACTCTGAACGTTTCCTATTTGGTGGTTTTGATCTTGTAACGGTAAATTTCACTTGCCAGGGCAGGAGACGAGGGACGTTTTTTCTTTTTCCCTCAATGAGTCTGCGTCGTCTTGGTATTTTGGGTTTAAAGGATGGGCACTGCCGCAGACACTTAATTTGAGAATTTAGCAGGGACAATAGGAACTTAATTCAACAGTGTTATTGAATTAATTGTAAATTTTAATGTTAAATGAAGTTCAATTTCAATTCAAGAGTTACATTAAATTAGATTATCAAATCAAATCTCTAAATTAAATTCCAATAGTATTGTTCATAGTATTTTTCTTAAAAAGTTTTCTTAGTAGTTAATGGATCAATTCTGTAAACTTGTTAGGGTGAGGCGCTTACAACACTTCCTGGCGTGGGATATTTTGGCTTGAGTGTTATCTGGAATTCAGAAACTATGATCCTATCGAGGAAGGAGCTAACGAAAATACAAACTATGGGATTGAGCACAACACACACTCGGTGAATGTGAACATTCAAATTATAGAGAATAACAAACATATAGAGAGGAGCTTGATTGCTTTAGTATCAAGACATGTGATCCACGAGATTGTCTAGCTTTGGTTGCCTCATGCTTCTAAGCGAGCTTTGCTCGGTTTCCTACGGGGAGGTGTGTTTTCCAATGTCGACCTTTTCAGGGAGGTGGCCACGATGGTTATGGGTGTAGGGGTAGTGGCAGCGACAAGAATGAGTTTAATCGAAGGAATGATAATGGGTATGATGACAGTCTCGATTGTTGAGAGAGAGAAAAACAGATTTTTATTTTTATTTTTTTGTGGTGGGAGGTATATCGAGCATTTTTATAGAGTAGGTGAACGTAGACAAATGAGTCATTTTAGGGCACGGGTTTATCCAATTACTCAAAAAATCAAAGAAGATTGAATGTCATCAAATGTGCTACTATGGCATTTCAACTCCAACTTAAGATTTGCATACAAACTTAACAATCTACCAATAAGATAGTTCAAATATGAGATTCCAAGTTCGATTCTCACAAAAAAATTATGCTACACTTGATTTGCACAGTTTGTGAATGTTTATCTACATTTGAAGTTTATATTGTACGAATTCCATTATTTAAAAAAAACACATTGATTAACAAAAATAATTTTATGAAAAAAGGAAAGAAAGTGGCCATCCCAGGTGATATATTCAACATCATTTTGTCCTCCCACACATCCCCAACGTGAAAATAGGATCCAATAACTTCAAAATAGGATCCAATGACTTCAGAACAACCAACAATATGAGAAGTGGTTCGTAAATCTTTTTAAATCCAATTGGAAAACATTATTATGGAGAAAAAACATTGAATGTAACAATAACACCATATAATTAATGCCACGTGTTATCATCATTCAATAATAAGATAACAAGTGAATAAAATAAGTCTTACTAATATAACATATTTACTATTGAGTGTAGTGTCTACCGGTAATTATTGGAGTGTTGGATTCACTTTGCCTTTTTATTTTTTTTATCGGATAGTAACACTATGTAACGGTGATAACATAGTACCACCGTTATACTGGTATTTACTCCATCATCATTATAGCATATTACTTGATGCATGGCTTTCTGTCAAAATAATAAAATATATTTGAAACAAGAAATTACAAAACAGTACACTTGAATCAACTTGGTCTCAAACTAAAAATATGTACTGCAGGAGCAAATTTCGAACTGAAATTGGTAAGTTCATCCCGTATTAGTATTGATTAAATCTTTAAAAAGGTCACATGGAACCATTTCCACTATAACCACAAGAACCCAAAAAGTTACAACAAAATTTTGCTGAAGCACACCCTTCTTTGACAAAATTCAATGAGAAGCATGGAAGCATTCATTTGCATCCAGTCTCTCTACACCACAGATCAGTGTGATCCATGAACAGTCATTCCCGATCAGAGGGTTAGTATCACAAGCCACTTCGTGGGATCCGACGAAAAATAATGATAAAATATCAAAGATCTGAAGGTGCAAATGTAAAGAAATAGTTTGGCAAGGAATCAATTTCGGGATAGAAGCCCCTTAAACAAGAAGATTCCGAGACCACCAATTGCCAATGCTATAATCAGAGAAACTCTAACAGGATCAACATCAGCTATTTCGCAGTTCTTGTCTGTTCTTGCATCACGAGATATTTCTCCCAAGCTCTCGCGGAGAAGATTATTGAGGTTGTCCAACTGATGCAAGACTTGCCGTTGTCCTCTTGCAATACCAGATATCTGTTTAAAATAGTGTGGGATGAATCAGGAAAAGAAAGTGAACTAGCCCCCAACAAAAGTCAAGTAGTAAAATGTAAAAGGTAGAATATGGTGAATCGATGCATGTAGGAATATTTGTTGCTTGGCAAGATCAGAACCTACACCCACTCCAAATAAATAACAAAATGAATCAAACACCCTGCATGGGATTATCCTTGCTTAAACTAGGGTCGTGGGATTATTGGATCATTGTAAGGACAATGCAACTCTAGATAAAAGCAATTATGCCATAGTCCTTATACCATACAAACTTTAGAACAAGGTGTCAAACAACCACTCCTTTATAGAAACATTATCCTAGAGTCATCATTAGGATGTTTTCAATAAGTCATATGAATAATTTAACAATCAACTATTTTACCTAGATTTTCTTAAGGTCAAAAGAAACACATAATTTGCCATATATTCACCCAAGAGAAGAAAACTTAGCTCTCTTCTATTTTTGTCCTCAATGTTTATAGTAATTTCATTTATCCACTAATTTATGTCACGCTTTTTACCTGGAACTTCCAGTTTCTCAGATTTGATCCTGCTCTCCACTTTTTTATACTCCAACTTACACTAGTCAATCTACTAGACTTTTTTGAGTTGAGTCTTGTTGAGGATTAATAAGCATATGATATTAGCATTATTATATTTGAAATCTAGTATTAATCATGCAAGCAAGACTTGTTGGGAAGTTCAAGGTGTTAGCATTAATCATGCAAGACTTTTTGGGGTGGGAAAAGACTTTTTTGAGTTGAGTCTTGTTGAGGATTAATAAGCATATGATATTAGCATTATTATATTTGAAAGTAGATTTTCAGTGTACTTCTTATGCTTGCCTTTTTAATAATTTCCAAGAAACACCCTATCTAATTTTACTTGCAAGTATATTATTAGCATATAATAACTGCGTATAACCAGCTTTCTTTGTAATTCAATTAATGCTCCTTTCACAAAAAAGAACTACCCCATTTGTTTTGTAGGACAAGTAGACCTTTATTTCACATCAAAGTTTTCCAAAGCAAAATAATAAGAGAATCAAGACATTTGATTCCCTCAAAGATTCCTCACTTATTTGCAATATTATGTCTTCAAACATAAAACAACCGAATTGTTTATTATGGTTTTCATATGTCATTGTACCCTGTAACTTGGAAAAAATATTTATCCCCTTGTTTGGGGTGGAAAAAGCACTTCACTTCTCTCTCTCTTTCTTAGAGCCATCATTATAGCACACCCTAAATAAAAGCATTACAAATTCTCAAGGAAAAGGTATAATGAGACTGGTGATGGTACCTCTTCCATCAAGGGAGACTCCTTCGCTAGCTGGGAGGAAGACGAGGAATTTGGAATAATGGATCCAGCCAAGGAACCGTTGCCTAAACCAGAGACGAAGGAAGAAGTGGGAGCAGATCCATTGCAGACTTCAGCATGCACAGCCCTGTTTTGAGGGCTGGCAGAAACTCTATTGCTGATTAACTGGGAATTCAACTCTTCGATTCGAGAGGTAAAATCATCCATCCGAACATTTAGTGTAGAAATTTGTTCTGAGAGCTGGGTAATACCTCCCTATTATACAATATTAACAAAAAAAACAAGGGGAAAAAAGAAAAAAAAAAGATAATCAAAAGTGATTAGCTCAAATCTTGGTTAGAAACATCATCAAAAAAAAGAAAAAGGAAGCTATAAAAATATGTTATTTCTTCAACAATGCATAAAGGCACCTGGTTTGCTGGTGTTGGTGACGACTCTATACTCCGGTCATCAAACCTTCGGTTATTGACATTGAATCCAGTAAGCTTGGAGAGATTCTTGTCTCCCTGTGTTGAATATGAGTGCGAAATAACCCTGTTTAAAACACACAGCAATCAGAAAAAAAGTTTTAAAAAAATCCAGGTCCTAAGAATGTATCACTCCTTGGAGACAGAAATTAAGAAGGTGCACAACAAATTAGATTCACAATAGTAAAATGATGGTAGAATGGTCAGATATCTAAGTTAAAGATAATGTTGGTTTCACAGCTTAACAGGAATCCCCAGCAAAACTAACAAGATGTGTACCCCCTGGAATGTGTTAAAGCCACAAATAACTGCAACATATACTCATAAATCATAATGTATAGACTTAAGATTTTTGAGTACTCAAACCAACAAATCTGATGGTGCTACAATGTTGAAGCCCCAAAAAGAATGTGAGGCCAACTTCATTTTTAATCATTTTGTTCCGGACTGATAAATAGGCCTGAAAACTGTACCTGAGATTCTTATTTCTCATTGAAACCCTCTCTGCAGAGGCTCGAGAGAGTGCTTCTTTGGGACTTGACACCAGATCCTCATCTATGCTTAGCTTTGTCTTCAAATCATATGGCAGTGCCTGCAGAGTAATTACATCAGAAAATGGCATTATCGAGGATTAGTGGTTGGCCTAATGCCCAGCCTACCGTTGGACCGTTAGGTCGTGGTTCGAACCTCACCGCACCCTCCCTTGTAAAAGTTTTTTTTTAAAAAAAAAAAAGAAGAAAAAGAAAATGGCATTTATCATAAGCTTTGGAAGTCGTCATAAACCATAACCTCATTTACAAGCTTTT